TTTTTTTTTTTTTTTTTTCAAAGATATTTGTGAATAAAAATAGCATTGCGATAAAGTGGTCATACTATGTAACACAAAAAAAAAAAAAAATGTCGCAAGTTTGAAGGATGGCAAATAATCATTTAAGCTGAGTGAACATTTTGCCATGCACGCCGTTGTCTATTTTTTCGGCGAGCCACATTAACATAGCGTACAAAAAAGGGGTGAAGCGGATCGGACAGATGGAATGAAAAACGGAACTTACGAATACGAGCAAAGAAATGAAAAGCGTAAAAAAGGGGGACAAGGCGGCAATTTTCCCTGTGCAACGTAATTGTCACCCAACATGATATTTTCGCCCCTCTACAATTTGTATAACTATTCCTTTTTGCTACAAGTTCATGCTACGCTCTGCGCCATATTTTTCGCTTCCTCCAAAATTTTGTCTAAATGCAAAAAAATTTAACTATCGGTGGAGGGGAAGAACGCAGCGAGGTCGTACACAAATGCGACATAACAGTCAACACAAACGCGACGCGATTTTGTACACATCATTGCGATGTAAATGCTAAGGGGCCCTATGCACACATATTTGCAATGTCCAGAATTTCTACATTTATTTTTTTTTTATAAACAGTTCATATGTTGTTATTCTCATTTTTTGGATGGGAAAACGTGCAGGAACAAATTCGCTTATAATTTTGCAAACAGGTAAATTGTGTCCACATTTTGATCATATTTTTTTTTTTTTTTTTTTTTTGTTTTTGTAACCCTCACACAGCTGGGTAATTTTAAAAAAAGTCCGTCCAACTATCCATTTCACGCATAAAACAACAACATGGGCAAAATGAAAGCAAATTCCCGAGCCCAATTTAACGAAAAAAAACAAGGCATTTCAACGTTTTTACAAAAAATTACGAATTTTTTTTATAGCTTGGCCAATTTTAAACATGGCACAGCGAAAGGAAAAACAATTCATGTTCCATCAATAACACACATGGTAAAAATATTTTTAAAAAATCCCACTCGTGTGTTGTAAAAATAGGTTAAAAAAAAAAAAAAAAAAAAAACAGCGTGCTGACAGTGGTCCGGCACGATTGCTAGCAATATTAATATTACTGATTTGGACGCGGGGAAGGAAGAAAAAGGGGGAAAAATGCGCCATAAAAGACAATTAAAAATGAGAAACCAAAAAATAAACATAAAAATGAACAGAAAAAATAATAAAGGCATAAAAAAAAAAAAAAAAAAAAATCACTTAAAATGTGGACAAAAAAAATACTCATATAAATGTTTAACACAAACGCAAAGGGTGGGAGACAGCTCCTTCATTTGGACTTTTGCTCCTCTATCGTTTTGGTGAAGTAATCATTCACCTGACCCATAATACTGTTGATGTGGCCTGACAATGTGTTATGGCTCAGGTATATTTCAACTCCATCGCTGCTCTTTTGAACGCTATCCACTGCCGCCATGCCGGAGGAACACTCAAAGGTTTTTATGCCATTGATGAATGTGGTTGATTTGATTAGCTTTTCGCATTCTTCTTCACTTGGGTCAGCTTTGCCACAATTTTCGGCGTCGCTCGAAGTGTTCATTTTGTTACTTATGTTTCACGTGCAGGCTTATATAGCGGCGTGGCTGCATAAGGAATATGTAATTGCATATAACATATATGTGTTTCCACAGCCTATATCCTTTTGGCTCACCCTCCGCACAGCCTCAGCGCAAAATTATGTGTCTCCGTCCGTTGACCAGAAATGTGACTCGGTAGCTAAAGAGACAGACAGGAAAAGCCTTTTTCTCTCACAAATGGTATAGCTATGTTAAAATGAATGCAAAAACCTGCTGCATCATTTGTCCATTCCTCAATTATGATCTCTTCCCGCCGTTTGAGCGTTCGTGATTATAAATATATGTACATATGCGTGAGCACAATTCTTCGTTATGGCTTACGCAATGCACGCTGTAAGTGGCATTTCACCTACGTGCAAAATGGTGCCATCAGGTTGCAAAAAAAAAAAAAAAAAAAAAAAAAAAAAAAATTCCAAGTTGTTGCCA